GCCGAACACGCGCGTCTGGCCACTTGGCCGCCGTGAGAACTGCCGAGACGCGTGGGTGCAGGACCGCTTGGAGCAATCAGTATAGGCATGGCCAATGTGTTCGCTGCTGACCGCGCACAGCAGACCGCAGCAGAGCAAGCGTGTGTGAGCCACAGCAGTCTGGCGATGTTTGAAGCGTCAATCTTTTCGCGTCGGTTTAAGTTTGGGTGAAATTTAATTTTGACGCTTCCTCACAAAAATTTCGCCGTCAGAGTTTGCCCCCAAAAAAGCGGCGCAACCTCTTCACGTCAAAACTTCCTGAAATGTCAATATTTCACGTCATTTCAACAACACGTGGATTCCCTCTAATGTACTCCCCAAACCCCAAAACATTAATTAAATCAAACACCCCCATATATTATATGCACAGTAGGGGTGCGAAGTTCTCTTGTGTTTTTATTATTCCTTAAATCTCTGCCGGTGATCATCAAAAATAGAAACTCCGTTCCTCACCTCCGTTGCCATCCTCATAGCTCCATCGAATCACAACCTCCTCCTCCACCCCTAACGTGTCCGGCGTGACGACGCTCAATGCCGCTCTATCCTCTGCACTTCCCGCGCACGGCGCCACCTCCATTGCCACGGCAAAAGCACAGAGGGCTGCCCTTCCCAGCCCCATCATGTCGCAGCTAGCCTCTCACGGAGGAATCGTACAGTCCCGAGCACGAGCACGTACGTGGTCCAAAGTCAAACTCGTTTCAGAAACGAGTGGCCTTGCTGTCCAGCGCTGGTCGACACACCTTCCACATACAGCAGTAGCACACACACACTTGCCCTCCGGATGATCTCTTTGCGGCCGCTGGCGCTACCCAAGCCCTATGTACCAACTTTGGTGGCGACGCGGAAAAAAATGATCCGAAAAACGATTTTGCTCTTTCTTTCGGTTTGTTTAGGACCTGCGTAGCTGAAGCCCTCCAACTCTGCAGCCCTTTGATAGTCCGTACGTCCGCTACCCGTCCCCTTTCGGTGGCGCAATCAGATCGAGCTGTTGCAGCACGTGAATGTCTTTTGTGACGCTGGCAGACACAGCACAGCAGGTACACCATGCAAACCCAAGTGTTCTCTCCCCCCTGCACGTCCACCGCGGTAACCCCGGGGACCTTTCTTTCCGTGGGTGATCTGCCGTCCCCCCCGAAAAAGTCACAGAGGCATCATCTCCTCTCTGTGTTGTCGATACAGTATCATTGCAAATTCGTCAATCTGAACCCCGTTTTCGCGCCACACTACACCCCCGAAGTGCGACAAGACATTCTCGCCGGGCCCACTGATCGAGTTTCAGCAGCGACGGCGTTGTCTCTTTCGACAACAAGTACAAGGCTGGGCATCTACTGCGCTGTATAGACTAAGCAGGAGGCGGCGACTGCCATGTCAACGAAGCGCGCCGGGGGTTCGTCCGTGGTCAGTCAAAGACCGCGCAAGTCGAGGAAGAAGCAGTGCGAGGAAGGGTCAGCCTGTCCCTATCAGGTTCGTTCGTTAGATTGTTCGACGTAGCGTACAGCTGTAGACGTTATTTACTTCCCGTTTGGCCGCTTCTTGTAGTCAATGCCTGCACATAAATACAGCAGTCTACATGTAAATGTAGTGGGAGAGGAACGGACGGTTCATCACGAAAGAGACAGTTTTTTTGTAGACATAGGTTGCCTGTCGGTCCAGTACTTTCTCTTGTGTGCTCCCAGCTGATACATCAGACGTGCGGAAACGTGTGAGTTCGTGGCTTCAGGGTAGATGAGACGAAACACAAAACGAACACCTGCTATCTGTACCTACTACGACGGTGGCAAGCCGTTTTGCGTACCATTTCGGCTGTACAGCAGTAGTCTGTGTACGACGATTGACTTGGGCGGTTTTGTCCAGGTTCTGGCATAGGCGCCTTGACGATGACCCTTGTAACCGAGGGGGCTCTTTGAGAGGGCAATATTTTTCCGTTCCTGCGTTCAAAGTCCCGATCTCAAGCACAACCGCAGAATACTGCCACAAACACCCTCCGTTTGCCCCGCCTACAACACACAAGCACTGATACTCCTTAGTAGCGCTGTCACGCCGGAGGTACTGCTGTAGATCCAACGATCTGTCAATGGGTTGCTTGTTTGTAAGTTTTGCCTGGAACTGTAGCCGCTGAATCTTGAATCTTGCCTGTCGCACCAACCTTAGCATGTACGCGTGCGGCGCTACCGGTGTATAAGCTTCTGCTTTCCTGAACCAGTCATGTTCGATTACCGGCCCTTGGAGGTGTTGTACACAGTCAGCACTCAAGACTCGTCTCCCTCGCGTGGAGGATGCCATACGAATAGGACCACTTGCAGCATTGAGAGCGTGGGAGGCAGATAACCGCACAAACACCCACCCAATAACCGAATTCGGGATTCGCACGAACCGTGAGTCCATACAAAAGGTCGAGCTAGTTGGCGATGGCATCGATCTGCCTCCGTCGCTTAGAGGGACTACTGCTGTACCTTCTTCACTCTACGGAGTGTATCCACGTGATCTTGCTGAATTCTCTGTTTGGTCTGTATCTTTCTGTCTGTCTGTCTGTCTGTCTGTCTGTCTGTGTGTTTCTCTCTCTCTCTCTCATAGCACGAATACCAGCATCAGTTGGAGTTTGCCCATGACGGAACTAGCTCCACCACCACCACCACTTCCCGCACACCAAACTCATCTGCGGGAAGAAGGGGGCAAACACTAGGGGGCGGAGGGGGGGGGACAAGCGTTCGCGGCACTGCGGGGAGAGCAGTCAGCTCGCTCAATGGCACTGGGGCTCGTGGTCGCAAGGTGGCTGTTGCTGCGGACAGGCGACGGGCCGAGCGCACCCTTCGGCAAGGAACTGACCAGAACCTGCTGGAAGCTGATGGTGGCGACGCGAGGGAAGCGCAGAGAACTCGTTGGATCATGCGCATGCAGCAGGATGTTGAGCAAGCACCGCCACCGGTACGACGACAACAGCGCCAGGATGCGGCTACGGGCGGGGGGGGCGGTGCGCAAACGCACGGCGGAGGGAATCAGTCGCGGGCGAGAGGCCATGGCCCATGTCGTACAACGCCATTGGACGTAGCGCAACCTTTGCCTCCACCGCCCCGTGCCACCCGCGCATCGTCACCCTCTTCGATTTCGATGCCTCTTCGCGACCTCGTCACGGTCGTCGGTGGTGCCAACCAGCGTGAGCGTGCGCCGGCGGTGAGTGCTGCTTAAAATGTACCGCTTTCAACGGTGTGTCAAGTGTAAACCCGAGATATTTTTTGGGCGTTGGCCATCGTGCAATCAATGTTGCCAAGTACTTGAGACACTCGGCATTAAATGATGGACGATAGCGGTCTTGCCATTGCGAACAGTTATTTTGAACGAGAGTACCCTACCATCACTTCGTCTATACTGCCGAATTTCCCAAGCTGCCCAAATTCTATCCCTTTGTGCTGTGGTAGGGGTTATTGCTGCCGTATGGTACGGCGTCGTTTTTTGGCGCGAGGCACGATGGCGCTCGACGTTTCTTCCCTGTGGAGCACGTTTGAGTACCATGGTTTACGCTAGGATGGAAGGTTTGCGGCATGTTCCAATATCATGTTGCATGGGTGGCCTTGAGATCCACCCGTCGTCTTGGCATCATGTGGGCTGTTTTTTTTTCTGATCTCTTGCCTGCCCTTGGACTTTTGCCCACAGGGCGCGGGGAGAGTGACAGACACTCACGGTAGGCGAGAGCAACAACAAAACAATCACCGAGAGGTCATCTGCCTGGACTGCGATTCTGATTAGTGAGAGGAGAGACAGACTGTTTCATGTCGCGACCATGATGGAGAAGGCAAGATGCTGGGAACGAAAGAACACATGCACACATGATGGAAGGGGTCACTGAAGTGTTCATTTCATTATTTCATTCCTAGCAGCCTCACAAGACGCCCCTCGAGGTATGCTTCCCCGGCATTGGTTGACATGACATGTTGCCAAGTTGCCGCCGCATATGCAAACCAAAGTTCCACGAGGCGTTGTACTTCGTGCAGACTGGGAAAGGGTGCTTGGATTCAAACAGACCCCTTGACGCTAGCGTTTGCTTCGAGCTGGTCTGACATTGGAAATTGCTGGGCGTGATGTACATAATGAATTCAAGATGGTTTGGGGGCACTGATGTTCATGTCCCCATGTATAGAATACGACAGCGGCACGCGCGCTGAATTGGTGTCGAGGGTGCAGTGCAGCAGCGTTGTCTTGCTTGAGTACATCTTCATGTCCATATTTGCTCAGAGCGGAATCCGGTGGGAGGTGTTTTGTAATATGCAACATGGCGCGTCGAGCACATGTGGGACGGTTTGAAACTGCGTGTTGGTCACAAGACACAAGAGTTACTGATACATCGTGTATATTAGTTGGTGGTTCGTCGAAGGCTAGTCTATACTGCCAGGTTGTGTGTGTACCGCTCTGTTGGTCTGTTGGACGGAGTAGTGACTGCTACCGCTAAGTCAAGATCTGAATCAAAGCGCCTCGACTCCATTCGTCGGTTCCCTTTGGGCTATTGCCCCTTGGGGGAGCGAAGCGGTTTGCGTGGCGGTCCCTGAGCTTGTTGAGGATTTCGGCTCTCGTGGTTACTCCAACCTCCCGCTGGGGGCAACCACAAGGTTTCTCCTACTTTGGGGGCATTCTGTTCGGGGGGGGGGGGCGGGAGGAGGGCACGAACTCGAGGACGTTCGCGCTGCAATGTCTTCTCTGTCTGAGCGTTCGTACTAGACATGGAGGCTTACCTGGTACGGTAGCCTCAATCAGTTCGTGTTGTGAAAGACCGAATCGTGTAATATGCAGCAACAGCCAAGTGCTGGCTGAAGTTGGTCACGAGGTTGGAGGCTCGTGGTAATCTTCGGCCGTACTACGCTACAGCAGTACAGTGTAGAAGGATTTCTCCTTGAATTGGAAGCAAAGCAGAGCATGTCGGCGTGCGGGGTATGTTTCATGGGCATTCATTCTGCCATCGAAGTAGGAGGCTAGGAGAGGTTCCCTCCTGGAACACCCCGGTGTACTGAACGTGCTCTGTCTCCACGGTGACAAGTTAAAAAATGTGCAGCTCGGCCAAAGTGTTCAACCCGGTTTAGCCGCATCTTTTTATCTACAGATGGCTCGCCGCATCGCGGCACCGCGGACGCGTGCGAAGGCGATGAGTTGTGACTCGCCGCAAGCGGTGGTGCCGTCGGTCTTGCCGCGAAATGCACACGGCCGTGAGTTGTATCGCTCTTATGCTGGAATCTGGCCCATTGCGGTCTAGATAGCCCGAGCCTGGTCGCTGAACGAGGTACTCGAGATACAGGGGACTCTCACGCAAGCCATACAGAATGTACCATTCGCTCCAAGCGACCCCTTGAACACAAGCCACGCACACAAATGCACACTGGTCTCACCGTTTTGCTATTCCCCCTCAAACTTCCCCGCACAGAGCGGTACTCCGGGCGGTGCTGAACCCGACAGGTGAAGGAAATACGGGGGACATCACAGCATTGATCATTCCGACTAGGCGATACAAGTCGATAGAGGGCAAGTGTTACGTAGTCCTCACGGTGGACAAGTGTTCTGCCGTGTCGTGACCCTAGAATTACGCACATGATGAGTACAGACTGCCAACGTTTTTGTCAGCTTGATCAATCCCATCGTTTGCCAGTTGTCGAAGGATAGCGCAAGACGTGCTTGTGGGACAGCGCGCAACCCCTCCCCCCTCCTGCGAAGTCAATGGTCAAACGACTACGGCCTGCATGGCTATGAGTACACACACACCCCCCCCTCCCCTCCCCGAATCACACACGTGAGAATCACCCCCGCTTGACATTAGAAAGCTCATCGAAACGCCGCCATCACAGATGTGGCCGGAACTCGGAACCAACCCCGTGGCTTTCCTACATAGGAGAAATACGGCCGTCGCAGCATTGGCGGGCAAGGAAGGAGATCGCCCAATTGACTAGACTGCAGAAATTGGTTTTCAAGTGAAACAGCACGGCACGGGAAAGAATACTCGAGTACAGTGGTGGTGCCTCTACTGCCGAATCTGGAACTTGAGGAACGTTCTCCATCTGTAAAAGGATCTGTGACCAATGGCCGTCAGGGCGAAAAACAACGACTATTGTAACCCCCCAGCGCCGCGGCGCTATCCCGCCCTTTTCCCCCCCACCACACCCAAAAAGGAGAACTTCGTATCCTGTTTCCTTGGAATTGAGCGGGCTTATACGAGGCACATAGACCTTCCCTGCTCCTGTTTCTAATCTACGCTATGTTCAGCCATTTCCCGCCTTAATAAGGCACACGTGTGGCGGCTTTTATTGCCTGGCGTAGGGTCCGCGGTAGCACATGCTTCACTTATGTCATACCCAATCAGCTCTCCCATTTTATAAATAAGTTACATCGCAGACAATGAGCAGAAAATTGAAAGCTCTGGCACATGGCTCAGTCCCGAATTTTGATACAGCGTTTTCTGTTGGGAAATGTAAGAATTGCACACAGCACCGATACATGTAGCATCGTTTACGCACAGGGAGAAAGCACGGGTGGCTACATGTGAGCAGCAGTGCCCCACATCCACACAACAGCAATAACAACAAAATCAACAACAGCGACCAAAGCCACAGTCCAGATACCATCATATGGATTTTAACAAAACCACAGGCCAGATACAAAAATATAGAATAACAAACCACAATCCAGATAAATCAATAAAGAGATTAACCAAACTTAATGTAACGGCGTCTACACGAACAGTTCACACGTGGCAGCCATAGAGTTGATGCAGGCGTTCAGAAAGCGCACCCCCCACCCCATCCTACCCAGACTCCAGCCTCATATTCACCTTCGTCCCCCGTCCCACCGTTCTCACCCACACTACCAGCATCACCTTGCTGGGCGACCTCTACACCCGCTTTAGTTTTTCCTCTCCCCTCTACCCGTACACCGTCCTCCTTGCTCGACCAGCCGCTACCACCACCATCACGATCTCCGTTGGCGATACGGCTCGATGTGGACCAAGATGGGTGTGGGGGGGTGGCGGCGGCGGCGGCGGCGGCGGCGTTGAGCTGCAAGTCGCCGAAAGGATTGGACCACCCCTCCCCCTCTTGGCTCGCCGTCGAGGACCGTGTAGCTGAAGAAGCCCTGGCGCAGAAGAGGAACCAGCCTGTCGCCGCCACGCCTCCGATGACACTCGATACAAACGCCGCCGCCTGGTCCAGACGACCGCAAGCGAAGCAAGGCAGGCGTACATAGAAAGGCGAATAATAGAAGGAAGGAGGTCATACGAAGACTCACCGTGACGCGTGTACGTCATACTGAGGACCAATAGCATGAAAATTGCTATGAACGCCACCGACATTGGAAAGTAGAACCCCTTTCCGAGAAATGGAAGCAAGAAAAATGATTTTTCTTCTCGTTGACACCATAGGCGTTCTCAGCAGGCACTTCAACCTATGCTGGAGAGGCAGTTCTGCCACTGCCCCCGTCTTGTCGAGTCTCCTATGCATGCGCGCAGAAACAGAGCCATCGTAGCGACTTGAGTGCTCACGTTAACGTTCACTTCAAGCCAAGCTTGAGTGTGTGCACACACAAACACGGACACCATCAAGTCAGGACACGCCGGAGCATAGTGCAAGGGACCTTCTGCCTTAGTACTGACATTTGCACGTATAATTTTGGGGCAGAAATTGTCGCGAAGACGTCACCTTTCCTCTCCCAGCGCCTACGGGCCAATCGGTTGCGTTGAACTCGGAGAAGGAAGCAGCCGGCTTTGCCGGGGGCGAAGCCTGGGCCCCTGCACCTCTTGTGAAGTTACCGATGTTGTTGGGCGGCACCTGTCGAAGAGCTGAGGCAACCTTAGCCTTCATCCTGTCCTTGGCGGACAGACCCGAACGGGCTGGCGGTGACGAAGACTTCGTTGATGCTGATGCTGCTCGCGGTTTTGACGCTGGTGAGAGTGCCGACGAGCCCGCCGGCGAGGGGACTCTTGTCGGTGAATACGTTGTCCGCTCTGCCGCACAATTCGATGCAATTAGAGCGCGAGCGAGTGGTATGTTGTCTCGGTGTCGTGTGCAGACTGTTGCAGGGTATCAAAACTGTGACATATCGCGGGGAAAACGCCCCCCTAAAGTAAGTACCCTATACATCCAGGACAAGGATAGAGGACTATGATTGTGCACTGAGGTTGCGTCTACTTCCGCATCATGGGAGAAATGTCTCGTCCAACCGACCACGCTCTATCGCGGTAACTACAGACCATTGAATGGGTCGGCATCTTCGTGAATGCGAACATTCTATCCAGCACGCCCTTCACCAAAACATGACACAGTCTGCTTGCTAGTCGCTCGTCACTCATCACTGCATGACCCACCCACCTTTCTCTGGCCTTGCGTTGGCCATGGCCACGAATGCCGCCCGAAGGGCCTTCCCATGATTCGCCTTCGCAATTTCCCGCCTGGGATTCTTGGGCGAGGAGTCGATGGAGCCTAGGGAGACCTTTTCTTTTGCCCTCGAGCTTGGGACTGCCGGACGGTTAACGGGTGGTTTGATGCGAGTGTAAACAACGACACGCATGTTCCTCCTCTTTACAACGGGGACTGAACGGCAGAACCGTCTACTTGAGGGGGCGATTCCCATGCGAAGGGAGATGAAAATGAAGAAGTGCCAGCTCTTTCAGAGAAATATCGTTGGGCCTCGGGTAGAACAAAAACGCTCTGAAGAGAACACAAAAATTGACTACCTGGTATGCGAAAACACAGGCACCCAAGGCGATGACCGTTGCTCAGCATCGAAACAAATACTGCCACCAGGGTTACTAGTCCTAGCACCGAACGTCCTCTCTTCTCACCGGGCGCTTTTGCTCTCATCGTGTTTTCCACCCATTCGGTCCTTGAGGGCGCCGAGATCATCATCCAACCGGCCAAGGCCCCTTGCTTACTAATAGCAGCAGTGGCAGCAGCAGCAGCAGCAGCAGGAGGACCAGCAACAGCAGTAGTAGGAGAAGAAGCGGTGGCAGTTTCCCCGACCTCAGGGGGCGTGAAGAAAGACCATCCACCCCCTGCACCAGGCGGTCCGTCAATCTGCAGCTGCGCGTGCACTGTACCATCACGCAACCAGAAAAAACGGGGGTGGGGGGGGATCGATCGATGGGGATCTTAAAGCTTTCACCACCCTAGAGCAAACGGAGAACGAAGCGAATGCCGTGCTCATCGTTTTGTTCGTGTGGCCGAGCGAGCAGTTGATAGCTCGCGTGATCGCTTCACAGGCTCTCCCTTAGCCACACCATTCAAGCTTGAGGGAAAACGCTATTTCTCCAACATAGCTCATCTTGTCGTCGGTAACATACTTTTGGTGGTGGTGATGCTGCACTACACTACACTACATGCGTATGGCAGGCTAGTGATTTCGGTGTACAAGTAGTGCCTCGAATAGGTATTATTACACTCGGGAGGGGACACGTACACAAACCGAAGCTCTTCCTTGTACGTTGAACCGGCTCCATTCAAGATCAACCAACCACACCGACATTTGAAATACTCAAAGTGTCGTCGTACATGATGATGATGATGGCAATATCAAGACACAGCCTTTTGATGGAAACGAGAGGCTTCTTTGTGTGACAACGGGGGCCATCTACATCTAGAACAACTACAGCAGCATACCGCACCGCAAAAGTTAATATCGGCGATGATGTGCCATCTGACTTGCAATGCTCTCGAGACCCCCATTGCTCGGTCAAGCTTAAGCTGTGTACCCTCTCCCCCGGTCGACAAGAGCGTAAACCAGGCAAGTATGTACCCTGCAGATGAAATGTGAAAAACGTCGATTACGTCGACGCACCAACACACCAAGACGATGACAGAAGTGGTCTTCGTTTCTTGTTTCTTGTCGACATCATTCCCTTACTCATGAAACACAACATCGTATGCATACAGCACGACACAACACGATACAAAAAAAAATCTCCCTCATACTTGTATCGACAACGTGACAGCGAGAAGGAGAAAACAGACAACGTTGGGTATGCTCTTCTTGCGCATCTGGGGCTCGAAACCCCTACCCCGTGTCGTGGCGTGTCCCGACACGGTCTAGACACGGTCTGAGCAACAAGGGAAAACGGACCTTAGGGACCCTGCCCACTCGCACGGAAAACTCTTCACTCATTTATAGCCGAAAATAGGGGACGCGTTCGTACTGAAGCACACCATACTTAAGGGCGGCGCGCCGTCTCATCGCAAGCATGAAAATTATCGACAGTCTCCTGTGACTCACCCGCCAAAGACGAGAACGTGAACAAAAACAATGGCTATTAGAATCTGCAACCCGCCGTTCCAACATTCGCTGATTGGTCAACGCACCACGATTGCACCATGTCAGGACCACCAGACACCGCTTTGGCGATAGACACCGCGCAAGCATAGCCTACAGCCTACACGACGTACGTCTGACATTACACAGCGCTGCTTTGTACCTCAAAGGGCTCTTGACAAGAAGAAGCCAATGTCAGTGCAATAAATAGCAGCGAAGCAAGCTCTATTTAGCGGCGATGGCGACGGTAACACCCGCTTCTCTAGGCCCGGCACTATAGCCAACTTCACCATCACCCCATACCAACCCATATTTTGAAAGCAGAGGACGTCTTGTGCGGCGTGCAAGAAAAAACCAACAAGATGTGTGATTCTGAACTCCAAGCACAGACAAGAGAATTGGAAAAATGCAATGGTTGATTGCAACTCCCGTGGGACTGGTCTTTGACCAACGTTGTGAAAGATGGACAGCGACGCAACATCAAACCAACTCGTCCTGTTCGCTTGTTCGAAGCTCTGGTATCGTAACGCTTTCGATTTCCCCCCGCCGGCGATATCACCCTAATCTACTATAGTAAACACTTGAATATTCATGCACTGTATTATTATGCCATAGGCGGTGGCAGCCATAGAGCTCAGAATGCGCTTTGGCCAACACAAAACACGCGAAAAGTAAATCAAGGCGATGGAAAAATGAAGGAACAGCTGGATCCTCAAATGAAGACCTGATCCCTTCCTCAACCTGCCACTCTAACCGTAACACACCACAAACGATATGCACACGACCGACAAAACCTCAATACCAAAAGTCAACATTGAAAGAGGAATTTTATGTGGCAAAAAAGATAGAGAGATACAGGGGGACAACTTAAACTTGTGCAACGTTCTTCTAGCGGAGACGACCCGAGCAAAAAAAAATGGGCCAGACAAGAACAAAAATGGAGTCAATCCGATGAGCCCGTGCCTTCTCTTCCTCTCCTCTCCTTCGGAAGCGATGCCATGGCTCCAGATCCACCGTAAGCGATGCCCATTTCCCTCTCCCGCTGTAACAGGAGCACCTGGAGCAACGTCATCAATATCCATACGGCCAGCGTCAGTCCATGATTTCAAGAGATTAACATTTGTAGCGACCAAGATTGTAAAAACCACGTACCAGTGGGAAGCAAGACAGCAACATCTGCATCTAGAGAGAGAGAGAGCGCGCGACAAGTCACACATGTATCTTTCAAAGCTGTTGGACTGCAGCCAATCACGATCCAAGTCCAAATCGTGCTCTGCATGAATCGAAAATCCCTTACCAATTGGTTCGAGACTGACTTCTTGTACGCCTCAATGGAACGGAGGATGCCCCCTACATATACTTGTTCTTGTGTTCGTGTTCTCCGTGCCTTCTCGGGGTCCTCGTTGACACGGTATTGATACAGTTTGGCTTGATCATCTCATGGATCGTTGACAGCTGACAGGACTGACTTGCTACGGTGCAGATGATCAGCACCGAAGCTGGATCGATCGATCGCCTCACAAGGACAAAAGCGCACGAGCAGCAACCACCGACCTCGACACAAGTACCGCAAACGAGAAAACAGGCTCAAAGGCATGCATGCACCGTAGAGGAATTATTGGGTCTATGCTGTCTTCACGTTCACCTTGGATGGGACATCCTCATCTCACCTTACTTCAGATAGAGGCAAGAGCGTAGACAAAATACTACTGGCAAAGGGCAAGGGCAGCTAGAAACCCAGAGAGGGGATCTACAATATTCAATAATCCAGGATGGGGAAAATAATACGTGATCAGATCAACACCGGAAAGTGGATTTAGCTTGCAACAGCAGTCGTGGGCTAAGAAAACTGTTTCGCCAGCGACACCAACGCCAAAACGGCAGTGCACGAAAACGGAGTCGACTTGTATCTGTCGTATCGTGGTATCACCTGTATGAGCGTCGCCACTCCCATGAGGCCGGCCAAGATCCCGAAGGCTGAAACGCCCTCGTCATCCTCAGACACCGAGCTACTTGCCACCGGTCCGTGCATCAGGAAAGCTGCCACGACATACACTGGTACCCTGTGCCGCAGAATTGGACACACAGATCGCGTGCTTGTGTGTTAGATAGCAAGTACGCCAAAAATGTAGGACCCGCATACTAAGGAGTGGGAATGCGGGACGTTGTTACTGTATGCAGCAATATGTAACATGGCCTTCCACACAACTACAAGTTTCCCATCGTGCATACGTAACGTCGTTTGACAGGAAAGGTCAACGTCTCACTCTTTGCCATGCGAGTTGCACTTATTGAGGGTAGAAGGTGCTGCAAACATGGTCAGCCGCAATGACGATTGCCATGCACGTGACGGCGTACCACGCTACCGTAACTACAATAAAGAGCGAAGAAGGAACTCGATCACAAGCTGACACAGGCACCAAATGTATTCAACATGAGAGGGTGGATGCATGTTGCTGCATGACGACAACACCAAGGAAGGGCAAAGGGATGTTGTGCAGTCGCATCCAACCAGCCCTTTTTGTGTACCACACCGAAGCAGCCATGGCAACCCCTAAAGTGGGACCCTCTCAATAGTGCCGGGTGCTCGGAATAGTACCGGTGATATCGTGTGACACGCACGGATTACAATATTCAAGTTGTATCATTCTCTGAATAGATACGTGTATATTGCAGTGCTCGGTGCCCGATTCAGTACCGGTGAATCTGGCGTGCACATAGCGGCACTACTGAGGGACCCCCACTGTACAATACCTGGTCAAATTCATGACGGTGCCACGAATCCGGTCGTCAATGTACTTGGATCGACACGTTGCAATGGCAGGGAGATACAGTCCAATGCACGCCTCGTACACCAGGAACATCGCCAGCAGCCTGTTGTGGAGACACGCAAAATACAGGTTGTTTGCGGTTCGAAGGGCGCGCAAGAGAGGAGAGAGATGAGGGATGAGGTATGGCGGAAGAAGCTACTGGTATTGACGATACGCAGATGACGGATGGATGGATCGACTTTGCATCTAGGGAGAGAGGCAATGTGAGGAGAGGTTGTGTCATGTCCTGGAATACGAAAGTACTGCTTCAGCGCCAACGTAGAGAGAAGACAACAGAAGAGACAGGGACGACCGGACAAAGCAAGATCAAGTACAAACGAACCAAAGCGATTTCACAAGGAGCCACGAAAACAAGGTGACCCGCAGAAAACTCGAACCACAACTATCTGCAACTCGGCCTGAGCCCCTTGCGCTTGTACACCATGGCAGCGGTAGCATGCGTATTCTCTCTACCATCACAAACGTAACACAAATTTATCCGGTCTATGGGAAACGACTTGTGAAGAAAGTATACAGAGTGCCGCAGAGAATACGGCACGAGTGAAATAAATCCAAGTTCCAGATCAAGACAAGCATTAACGTGTTTTTAAGTTGAAAGTTGCCGCTGTAACTCACTTTCCGGGCGACAGTTCCATCCACGACGCCACCAGTGCCACTGTGCTCAGCCCTAGCCAACAAGGCAAGAGAGAGAGAGGGGGGGGGGGCAAGAGCAACACCACCACAGGAAGAGCTCGATGGATGGACGGATCGCAACGACAGCATGCGACGGCATCGCGAACGACACGGCGGCAGATACTCAACTTCCCGACAGCGAAGAAAGTATCAAGGTGCATTGTCGTTGGTCGCTACTTTTCATCTTTTCATGCCCACTCATGACCTTTTCTGTCAACAAAACACACGAAAGAAGACATGACGTAATCAAATCGCTGTTTCTTCAGTCAGTTATTGCTTCAGACCACCCTGGCATTACCTACACCAGAACACTATCATATACCACATGTTCGGAAGAATATTTTGCGCTCCGAGCTGTTTTCGGTTTATTGGCCTGGCCAGGACCAATCTCCCGTCACCTCTACTGTATTCGCTGGAACAGGCAGAAGACAGACCCCAACAGTTTTCGAAAGGGCGGCCGCGAGCCTTTTCAGCTTCGCGTATGACGATCATATCCTCGATTTCCTCTCTGTTCTACGGCGTTTGCGGCCTGCTACTTTGTACCAGTACTCTCATTGAAAAGGCCAAGTGCAGTTGCATAGTTTCATGTCGACGGACGTGACGTGACGTGACGTACTGAATGCAGCCAACGACGCACCTGTTGCCAATACGAGGCAAGCTTCTGGAGAGACCGCCAATCCCACCGGAAGTCCCTCGGTCATCAGCTTGAACAGCGAACTCCCCCCGCACATACTCACCATCATCGTTGAGAACACCATGCCTAGGGCAACCTTGTCGGTCTATGGTAGCAATAGCCAGTGGGGTGACGGGGAAGAGGAGGACTCCTTGAGCACAACAGATAGAAGCAAAAAATAAACACATGCACGAGAAATGCCTGACTGTACCAAGTTGGTATGGCTTGCGGCGTTTCAATGGTGCGCAGGTTTTCTATATTGTACGAAAACGTGACCATCGCCGCAACAGACAGAACCTACTTCGTATATGCTTGGCGCGCCTCGTTACGCAGCACAGAGACAGAGCACCAAGCTCTACCCGACGCCTTCTCTGCTCTTCACACCTCCGACCGAGCATAACAGCCTCCCGAAAACGCACCTTGCGTGTAAATTGAACTCAAATCGACACCCAAATTCCGGTAAACCTCCCGGAATATACGTTGGGCGCCATCACGTACCGTCATGTACCAAGCAAGGTGACGCACAGCATGCTGCTGGACTGCTGGACTGCTGTTGCTGTGATGCTGCATGCTTCGTGGAGTTCGTGAGGTGAACGGAAACTCTGCAGATGATGCAACACTTGGAGCGAGCACCAACATGACCGCAACTACACGGAACAAGGTAAAGCGTCCCTCCCTTCCTCGGAGTATAATATAATATATAATAGCAGCACACAACAAACAACAACCTCCGCTACAGGGTGCCGTGAATAGCGACGACACCCACCAAAGCAGCGGCTTCGATGGCAGGCGCCCAGAGGACGACGTAGGCGAGCATCACCCCCTCGAACAGCGCTTGCACCGCGGACATCATCACTAGGCGACCATCGGACACGATGCTTCCAAACGCCTTCATTGCAAACGCAGCACACGAGAGAGGTTTCGTTAGACAATGCAGATGCACAATCACAGGGTATGCACCAGAGGCAAGAATTGCAAGCTTCGATCTTTTTGGAGATATTGTTCCTGATTTCGTACCGTCAGGGGTTGGGGGACAAGACGAGGACGAGTGACAGAAATAAACATAAAAAAGGACTGCCGTAGGCTAATAGAAATCGTTTCAAAGGGTAGAAACTACGGTCGAGCGGAACAGGATAACAATCATCCGACGAAGCATGACCTAGGCAATGAGGGAAAGCGCTACTTCCGATGATAGTCCAAATACTGTCGTGTCATGTCCCCCAATGCACCCGTGAGTGAACCGAGAAGAACTGCGGGGCGTCGGGTGGATGTACTGTTTCGTACCCGAATACGTAACCAACATCCACATGAGAGGACAAAAAACAAAAACCAAAAAAACCAGGGCATGTCCGAGCAGAGCAGAGCCACTGGCCCAAGCGGAGTGCCATGTAAACACGCGCTTCTACTCTCTGCTGATGCTGATGCAAGACGTACCGACAGCAAAGCTCCGCGACCACTATTAATAGTAACCTAAACCTTCACTCGACCCCCTCCCTGCTCGGCTCTTTCGCCAGTGCCCGACTTGCCTCTTTCATGTGACGGGAGGTAGAGGAGGATCGGTCCCCGTAGTTTTCATTCCACAAACCGGCGATGAGCACGAGCGAGATTAGCGACACCTGCGGTCAAAACAAGCACCAACAGAACCCGCAATCAGCAACGCTGAATGGTTGAGCAGCAATCACAAGAGCTATTATATATAGGAACAACGATACTCTGCCAAATTCTCAATCGCAAGGTTTGTGAGGTTGTAGCGGCAGATTGGTTTGCCGGGTTGATAGAACGGAAGGCAATGTCAGTCCACGACTAGTGCAAGTACGTATGCACGAACGGTGTTACAAGACAGCACCATATGGTGCTTACCCAAGCCAATTCACTCACCTAGCCTACCTAGTACTGCAGCGTTGGCCACATCATTGACTCCTTCCTCCTGTACTGTGTGTCATAAAATGTAGCTTTGTCTTACAAGCACAGACGATCTTGGACTCAATGAACGTCACGACCGCTGTACCGTGGGAGAAATGAATCTCAAACGGGAAGGAAGGCGCACCCAACTCACCCCAATGGCGACATTGAAAGGCCCCAGGAGGCCCATCCCCATCGACCGCACGGAAAAATCCGCCAACAAGCCTGACGCGATCGTCGCTAACCCGATTCCCCACGTTGCCATGTGGAATGTGTCTGCCAGCAGGTACGACGGGTATCCTCTGCTACGGTGTTCCGTGATCATCCAAGACTCGAAAGCAGTCGCCAGGAACATCGCACCGGCGCCTGCGTGAAGGGTCGGTCACGTGGACAAAGAGAAGCAAGCGCAAGGTTCATTCGATTTGACTAATAAAGATGCGCGAGTGGAGGGAACTTGCCAGGGCCAACGACAGCATGCCCGCAAATGCACCAGTCAGGGTGCACTCGATCGATGTATTTGGCAATAAGAAAATAAATCGATCAACCCACGACTACATCTGGGCTGCACCAATTCTTCGGCGGTTGTGTCGAGCGAAGTTGCGGGGGCGAAAGCCGACTACTTACGCCACTGTTCGTGTACTTGAATTGAAATCGTATTGGGTTGCCCACCAAACAGCGCTACCACACCATATTCGATATCACGTCCACAGTTCACCTGCAATCACTCGACCCAGCACAAGGGCTCCAAACGCCTTCGACCGGATCAGGAAGCACTGCACGATGTTGAGAATAGCCCACAGCATGCAGCCACTCCGTCGCCCGTACCTTGGCGGAATAATTCGGGTGCGTTGTCGGAAGAACCACCAGAAAGCAGCAAGTATACCAAGAATTTCGTCACATGAGCGACGAGCAGCAGCTGCAGAAACGTACAAGAACGGTAGAGCAGCCACCGGTGTGCCATGCTCCGTCCGAAAGATAGCTATCGCATCCTACATCAGAAATCACACGGCGGGATGCAGGACACGGTCCGGCTACGGGCTAGAGTCTACCGTAAATCAGTGCTGAAGCGCACAAGAACGGACACCACGATTTGCGTAGCAGCGACACAGAAAAACAAACGACAGATTTGATGATACGAGCAAAAACAATCGCGCTGTATGCTACGTTTGCCTCGTTGCGATCCTGCAGCCAGGCGCTTCTGTCCGAAACACCATACATAATTGGATTGATCACACCATAAACCTGCCAATACCCGTGATGCCGCACGGCAGCAGCCCCCTAGTGTAAAGAGCGGCAATGGAAGAGCGGGTTTCGCCTCACCTGTCGAGCAACGATCCAGCGAAAAGCCCAGTCACCATGCTTGACAATGTACCTGCCAGAAACAATCGGCTGATCTGCTCCATGCCGAACGCGCTGCTCTGTGGAGGCGTTGACGACGCGAAACGACGGGAAAAAAAGCGGCACAACGTGTGAATCTCAGGAGCATCGTTGTCACGAAAACAACCAGAGCAAATGCACTGCCATCATCACGTATGTATATCACTGTCTAGAGCAGTCCCCTCGATATGAACGTGCATCCTTGTTGGTGGGTGGATTCGTGCGAACGTCAAAAAGGAGTGCACGCGTATTTAAAACAGCACAGAAACTGCACGAATTTGTCGTCGCGCAGATATACGGAGAAAGTAGTGCACGAGGTATCCGACAGCGATCGACAGTCAGTTTGGTGGTTTCGGGTTCGCTGTCGCATTTCATCCATTGATTTAGCTCCCGCCCAGACAAGATCCATTGCTGAACGAACCCGCAGGTTGCGCCGCTTTGCTTGTGCCGTGTGTGATGTGTGATGAGCCACGCATACATACGCAAGCGTGGTTTCAAAGTGATGGTCTGCCACCAGCCAGCTGTATATGATCCCTACAAGTTCCATGTCCTGTGTGGTAGCTTACCCTAGTGTCTTGAGGATATCGGGGGGCACGGTACCTGGGAATAGAGCCGGAACAAGTATGCCCCCTGAATAAACTCTCCGAGGTTGCACACAGCGAGCACACCCAGGTATGACCACCGGAAGCTCTTCAGACCCGCCTGCCAGTGTGATGCAACAGGTTTTGTCATGCAACAGGTAAAGGAATGGAACGTGGGAATAACTTGTTGCCAGGAAGAAGAAGAAACCCGAACTTGGAGCGGCGGGATTGCTGTTGCAACAAACAAGCAAAACCAACCGCAAGGCCACCGATGGCAAAGCCAACATGGTACACGCCAATATGCACTTTTCGAGCATGACGGACGTCCTGCAAGCGTTTTCAATGCAGCTATTTCTCGACCAAAGACCTGTGTACGGCGAAAGAACATCCGTACCGGAGAGTCAAAACATGTATGACTCTGTAGTGACAGAGAGGGAAGAGTAGCGCATACGGCTGCCCTCTACGAATGTATCGGTCAGGATGTACCTTTAAGTACATGAACATGCCGGGACCGAGACGGAACAAACCCCAGGTTTAAATTCAACAACATTGTGGGATACGCAAACAATTCACATGCCTGAATAAACTCACCCAAACGCTCGCACCACGCCCCTGGGCACTTGCACCATCAAGTTTTCCCGACACTGCCCAGATTACGTTGGATGCAACCTGTACGCTGGTGGCCGATACGATGGACCACACGAGCGCCTTCCGGACAATGCCTTCAAGAGTCATACGTTACAAATGACAGGGGATGAGATGGATGAGTCAAGGTGGAGCTGGTGTTGTGTTTGTTGTGGGTCTCCTTAATTGTAGTATCGAACCGTGCTAACCGGCTGACCAAGCAAGAGATGCCAGTCTTAAATGCCACACAGCAGTGAGCAAGAGAGAGAGAGAGAGAGAGAGAGAGAGAGAGAGAGAGAGAGAGAGAGGACCGCAGAGAATGAGACGGGGTTCCACCGAACCGCTGTTGCTCTCACTAGGGGCTTTAGGGCGAGGCATACCTTTTTGAACCATCCCAGATCTACAAACGCATACCTCCCGTATCCCAAGGACGGTAAACGGCATAGCAGTCAGTAGCCGGGGTGTGGATTGCGCTGGGCCAGGTCGACTACATGTATCTTTCCCTACGCGTGGCTGGCGACCAGGCATACACCAAGATATCCAACTTGTCGCCTGAGCTTCATGCTATATGCCATACCTTCTGTGGCGCTCATCTTGCCCCTATTCCACAGCACCGTCCCACCGACGACTGCTAACCAAGACACCGCGTTCACTGCAATAGCTCTCTCCGCAGCGTTGAACTGGTCAAGCGGCGGCGGCAATCGGATCCGCTTGTTCTTCGTGTCTCGCAACAGTCCCTTGGCCTTTGCACCACCAGCTTTCGGCATTGATGCAAGCAGATGTTCTGCTGCTGAGGGTTGGTGTTCCCAGTCAACGGCAGCCTGGTTCTCCTGGGCTGGTATCAACACAGGGGCTGGGCGCGGAATGCCCTGGTCGAGGCGTGCAGTAAGCCGGACATCCTTGTGAGCTTCGACCCGAGCAGAGATGCGATTGCACGTCAGGAGGACGGGCAGCGCTCGTAGCGCCCGCATCCCGGGAAAGCCTTTCCGCCGGGGCGCGATATATCACGGTCTCTGTCAACTTTCCTCTGCCAGATAACACAGAACAAGGGAAATGGCCGAGTGACCGCCAAGCCTAAGTGAGGGCGGCTGCCAATGTCACCAACATCCGGGGACTGACCGTTGGTGGGCTCCGCAGATCACATTTCCTGTTCGAAACGCAGTAATATACGCTATTATAGGGGTACGTACATGAAAAATTCCAATACGACGGGGGGGGGGGGGTACACCGCCGCGGGTGGTGGTGTCTCTACACACGCACATGCTCTCCCGGGCATCCCACTTGTCGGTGGATGGATCCGCGCGTAACATCAGGGGCAGATTTGCAAAGAGCAGGAGGCAGTGGGGTTTGAGGCATTACCACTACTACTACAGTACTACTGCGTATAAATGATGCTGCGGTCGTTTTCACCATCAGGAACAAAAACAGTCTTTCTGTGAGGTTGATAGTATGAGACGGTTGTCTCCAGGTTCGCGTGTGAGCAAGTTCCCGTTGGGATGTGTGGTGTGGATACACACCGGTTCAACCTCTGGTGAAGAGGCTGACGAGTACGGATAGTTGTGTTGTGAACCAGGGGGGGAGCGACCTTGTGTTGAAGCAAGGTTCAGCATCCACTCGACACTGACTCTATCTGTGGCAACACCCCGAAGGTAGATCTCCGACAGGTCATCTGACGTCACCATCTACTACAGTCTGAGGTGGCATTCACAGCACCCCCCTATCTTCAATCACGGGGCCTGAATCCGGATTGAAAGATGCAAGAATGACATAAATAACCCAGAGTGTATGAAATGGTGAAGTCCTGATGAAAAACACGAGTTAAATGACTTGGGCCGTAACGTACGGCGACTGCCATCATTCAACGAATGTTCTGTGTTTTGTAGTCACAAAATTTTTTGGAACGTGTCACCAAAATATCTCATCCGAGCATCGATCGTACATAATGCAGTCACAACCACAGTTTGCACGAGAGCAATTCAGGAATTTTGGCAACTATTCCCGTACGACGAACGAATAACTACACAGATGACGAAAGGTGTACGGAACATGTCGCTTCAGTCCGCCTCGGCGCTGTAGGTAACATGTGATCTACCGTACGAACGAACGACGGGGTGTACAGAAAAAAACATCACTTCGGTGCGCGTCTTGCCCCGATAGTGTAAAAAAAACTGTACGAGTAGTACCTTGAGACAACGCCGTGAACTATTTTGTAGTTGCACGTAACGAACATCCAGCAACGAAAAATAATTTGGCATTGCACCTGTGAAAAACGATTGCTTGCAAGGCTTAAAGTTCACAAGTGTCGAATGGCAAATGACGTGGGTCGACCCGCTGGGAAAACGTTGCTCAAACGATATGCAGCTGCAACAACGAACGAACATATGTGCACAGCTCACGGAGAGCTAACGATACGACCTTCTCATGCGATTACGCAAATGAGAGGCGCTGCATAGACGAACGACGACGAATGGTGATTACGAGTACAGCAAACGATATGCTGTAGCATGGATTTGACGCAGTAGTGGGACGAAGGTCTGGTCCTCTTGTGCTTCCTCTTGCACGGCCAAGACACCCATCTACTCTTTCGCAGTGTACGACACGCGAGAACCGATGTGCGGATAACGAAAGGTGTACGGAACATGTCACGCAGTCAGCTCCAGCGCTGTAGGCAACATGTGATCTCCCGCACGGACGAACGGCACGGAATAAAAATCCACCGCACGAAACGACTAGACAAATCGGGCATGAACAAAACCGTGTGAACAATGCAAAAGTGCATGGATCCAGAAGTCGATTATCAATTGCAATTCCCCCAAACTGCAAGTGAGACGATATCACCCCCCAATTAAATGATGGAGTGGACGAGAAAAAACGACGAACTTCCGATCCTGCATATTCGCTCACATGAAGTATCAACTGACCCCATACGACGCACTCGTATCTCAAGGACAGCGACACAACGGTAATGGACGCTTCACACCACGCACGATTGTCTAAAAAAAAACGGACGCACGTTCCAATCATAAACAATTGAAACGCTGACGGAGCTCGTACGAGGTACTATTTCGTACGGCATTTAAACGGAGAAATATATAAAAAATAAATAAATCACACAACGGACGGGCAACGCCATGCCTTGAAAATGACGTGCGCTAGCATGCATGTCCAACGAAACGAAGACACGCAACCATGCTTGGTTCGCGGAGGGCGAATCTCGACGCGAACTAGGCTCCACCTGCCGACTTCCACGAGGTGTTGCATCCAACGTGGGCGTATCCACCAACAACGACAATGTCCGGCCGGACTGCGAAGGAACGTTGGGGACGGTGAGCACTACGAAACGATCGTGCTGGACAACGAACAATAACATATATGTACATATAAAATAAATGAAATAAAATAAAATAAACGAAAACGTAGCCCTTGAAAAATAAACGAAATACGAAACGAATAAGGCAAAACACAGCACGAAACACGATACGAAGCAGCCAGGACGCTACTTCCTGGGAGAATGATCAAAGGCGTGCGGATTATCACGAAGAACGCACGCTCGATATGAACGGATCATCTCATGACACTGGGGTACTTCTTTGAAGTGCTTCCAACACCCAAGACTCGCAGGACGGTCTTTGAGGAGGAAATAATATTGGAAGTTGTGGAGAGACGGTTTTCCTGCTCCACGTTTAAATTTGTCTATCCCCTCGACGACGTACGATCCAATTTTTACGGTAAACACGGTACCATCCAAATCGGGAATTGGAAGTGTTTGTCCCAAAAACATCTCATCCAATTCAGTAAAATCGGGGACAGAATCACGTTGAAAAGCATAGTACTTTTTCATACGACCCAAGTGTACTGACGTTTCCGCGAGTTCGCCGTCTTTGCAAACACGATATATGACGGGTGACACTTTTGAACGAACGGTAAATGGGCCATGCCAAGGGCTGATCAGCTTGGGATTAGGGCCATCAATAACGGTATGGGGACGATGTACGAGAACTTGTTCCCCAGGAGTGAACTGCGGTACGGATAATTTTTCGTTCGAGTCTGCTTGCTTGTCAGTTCGCTCTTTCAAATTACGACGAGCGATCTCATACGCGAGTTGCAAGTTATCCACGGTACGACGTGAATATTCCATCCGCGAAGCAGAGCTATCATGAGACGGTACACCAAGAATGACATCCACGGGAAGCAAAGCCTGGCGACCGAACATCAGATAATGAGGAGTTTCCTCAAGAGTTTGGTTGTACGCGGTGTTATGGGCGAGTTGCACAAACGGTAAAAGCTCAGCCCAATTATCAAACCGAACGTTTGCATACATTGCGAGCATGCCATGCATTGTGCTGTGCACGCGCTCTAATACAGAGTTGCCTTGCGGCCGATACGCGGACGTCCGAGTTTTTTTGAAACCAAACACGGCCTGCAACTCTTTAACCAACTCATTCTCGAACTCAGTGCCCTGATCACTGTGTAACGTTTCAGGGGAAGAGAAAACGGAAAAGACACGCTCTACGAGAGCCTGTGCAATTGTTGTTGCTTTTTTATCACGAATAGCAATCAACACGAGAAAACGGGTCAGGTGATCGATGACCGACAAGACGTACTTGCAACCCTGTGATACGGAATTATATTCAACGAGGTCGATCGCGACACACTGAAACGGACGGGTAACGGGACGGTGACCCACAGGTAATAACGGTCGTCTGTGGGACGTTTTTCGGTGTTGGCACGACGAACAATGCTGGATGTGTTTGGACGCATCTCGAGACATGGTCGGCCACCAAAAACGATCTCTGAGTCTATCGTACGTGGCTTTGAACGCTAGATGACCCCCTGACGCAGGAGCATCATGACAAGAATCCAAAACTAACGCACGCAAAACGGTGGGAACGACAAGTTGATCACGGAACGAACTGCGTTTACGAAGATACCCGGGTAAATACGACCTGAAGAGCACGTTTTCATTCAAGAAGTAATTGCTCATGGTGCCTTTATTTTCGCTAGACGGCAACGGTGCTGTTTTGGGTTTCTTGACGTAGTCGATATACGGACCGAACTCTTTGTACTGCTCTCTTCGCAATTTAGCGGGATCCAGCACAGGAAATAACGATACAGCACTAGCGAACAGTTCATTGTCATTCTGGACAATATCAACATCGTTCAACGAATCGGCAGAAATTTCGTAGTCACGAGGGCCAGGTGGATGGTACGGACGATCACTCGGCACATTCCTACAAATCGACGCCAGGGCCGGTTTGTGCGATACGGACTCGGACTCAATTTCGCCAAATAAACGAGATAACGCATCGGGTACGACGTTTAATTTCCCCGCTACGTGTTTGACGGTAAAATCATAATTTTGAAGAGCGATAGCCCAACGAGTGAGCATGTTGCTGGTGTCTTGCATATAAAAAAGATGAGTCAACGCTTGATGATCAGTAATCACCGTAAAGTGTTTCCCAAATAAATACGGTCGCCAATGCGAAATTGCAAGTACCACACCGCAACACTCTTTCATAGACGCAGAGTAATGACGCTGTCCATGTTTGAATCGATGACTGTAATACGCAATTATGTCAAGAGACTCCGGATCAGCCTTGGACGGCTGGGCAAGAAACGCGCCACACCCATGTTCGGATGCATCCACATGAACTACGAATTCCCGATCGAAATCCGGGAAATGTAAAACGGGCGCTGAAGTTAATAACCGCTTGAGATGAGCGAACGATGCGTCGTGCGATTT